ACCAATTAGCCATCACCAGCCGTAACGTTATGCAAATCTGTGATTCCCAAGCCATAGTCTTATGCAAATCATGCCGTGTGGCGTAATTGTCTGCTGACCAATCAGTGGCTGTACTTTCAAAAAGCCAACGGCCACTTTCAACCATCTGTCGATGACCGTTACGACTAAAAATAAACTTCGCTAGGTCTTACTTTCAGAGGGAGGTCTTATATTTCGCAATTCAGCAAAATCTGTGCTAGGTCTTATTTTCTGCGGATGTCTTATTTTCGGGGAAACACGGTATTATTTCCTGAATCAGATTTACGGCATTAATTTCACGCGTGTTTATCCGCGTTACGCAAGTAGATAAACTGGTGTCAGGACCTGACATAAGGAAGAAGGTAAATTTGCCATCACCAACTTCCACTCTGACTTCTAAATTAAATATAAGACCCTCCGCCGCTCGATTTCCTAGTAAATAGGAAAACCATTCTTGTTGACGACCGAGAACTATTGTCACGGAATAGATTGCCTATTAAGTGATACAGGAGTAACAAACTACCCTGTACACCAGGCTAAATCTTACAAATGGGAAACTGACCACTATTTATGTGTTGCAAACGTGAAGAAAACCCGAAAAATTCTATGTTGTCAGTCTGTCGGCGAGGCGAAAACTGACGAAAAGCTACAAATATTCAGTGGTTTTTCCACTCAGATACAGGTAGGCAACTCTAAAATGCTATCAATCTTGTTCATTACCATGCCCATAATGGTAGGTATGGTCCAACCTACAATGGTGACGGACTGGGCTCAACGTATCTAAGATAGATCTTTCATGAAAAATTCTTCGAGAGTTGCTCGCTGGGATTCGATCCCAACTCTTCCAGAGAGGTGAGCCAAGACGTTTTTCTGCCATAGCCATCACCCTTTATTCATTATTACACAGAAACTAATTAAAAAATTAAAAATAAAAAATAAAACCAAAAATTAATCATTAAAATTTTCCTCTTCTTTAATTAACGCGTAACAAAGAATCTCAACAATTGACCAGTGATTGTTTGGCTCTGTCATTGTCAAGAGTGCGATTTTCAAGTAATTAAAAGATGTTTTTTGATTTTTTGAATTATCAACGTTTGCCTGAACCTTTGGAGTAAGAGATTTTTCACATTTTATTGTTATTTATACAAATAAGAAATTCATTCGAAAAATTAATGGCTTTAAAATGAAATTGCTCTGTGCAAATGATAATTACTGTAACTTGATTTAAAGATTTCGACTTTTCGATGTTTCTGAATGTAGTTTTTAAGCAAACATTTTTGTGTTTTGCTGTATCCTATAATTATTTTGATGTTAAAATTAAAGAGTTAAATTTCCATGTGTGTTCAACTGTTTAGAGTTAAAAATTTTGTGCTATGTAAATACATCTTAAAGCTTTTTACCTTTACTGTTACTTAAAAAACAGAACAGAATACGTTTATTACTCTATGAACCTAATTTAATAGAATTATTTTTTTATCTGTAGCCTTTTCAATTCACTACACGTAATAGATGAATTTATTGATCCATTGTCATAAGTTATTAAATCAACAGTGAACAGATATATAATTTTAAAGTTGTTAAATTTTATTATATCTTGTTTTATAATAAGATACGTATTGAAAATTTAAGCTGAATTTGTAAAAACTTTTTTCCCTCACTTAAATTAATGAAATTTCACGAGTTTATTAAAGGATGCTTTGTTTAGTTTACAGTTTGATAAAAATTTTTTTAGACATTGAATGAAAAGTTTTTTTAGAGTGTAATAATTTTTCTAAAAGTTTACATAAGTACCCATTGGCAAATTTTCGTATATTCGATTTTAAAATTAGAATAAACAGGTTTCGGTATTAAACATTTATACTGTTACATAAATTTTCTCTTTTTCCATTTTCAGGGCATCATCTGATGGACGTGCGGGATTCATGCATCCAAAAAATTTGGATCATTTTAAACACCGGGACAAGAAAAAAAGCCCATTGTTGCAGGATGAACCCGCAAATATTAAATTTGGAACGTCCAACTTGAAAAATCACGTTAATCCTGCATACAAACAAGCAATAGAAAAGATTCGGCCATTTTACGAGATTTCGCGCGATCGCTTTAACAGGTAAGTTATATTACTGTTTATATGAAATTTAGTTATAAAATATGTTGATACGTGCTTCTTGTTTTTCATTATTTATATTATACATTTATCCACCTTAGACATTTTTGTGTCGTTATAAGAAGTCTAAAGTGGAAGTCTACTTTAGACTTGTAATAATGAGGAAAACGAAACACATAATTTCCAATTAAAATATATTCATTGTGACGTAATCTGACATGCTATTATACTCCAATCGAAAATTTCTGGCCAACGATATAAATAAATATAAATAGGATCTCATAATATTACTTCTTAGCAGATGTTACTTTTTTATGCTTAGATTTTAATATACCCATAGAGCTGCAGATTGAGATGTGTAAGGTGGATAATTGCTCAGTAAGATGAAGAATTGGTAATTCGTTTAACGAATAAGTGATGTTGAATGAATGACACTGTTGTTATAAACATGTAAACATTTAGAAAAAGTTTTGCTGGGAAAGTTAGAAAATGGCATATTTAAGGTCTATTTTGAAAAGGTTAAAAGATAGATATGGGTGTATTAAACTATAAAAATAAAAATAATAATATCTGATGAGGAGGAACGTTGACACGAAATGCTCGATCGTTGTGACATATAAAATATTTTATGTACATTACAGTATAGACAATAAATATACTTTAATTCGAAATTTTGTTTTTTTTATTATACGAAATCCTAGTAAACAAAAAATGACCACGGGGGATAAAAGTATAATACAATTATACACTATGATAATATAGTACGGAATTAGCCGGTAAAAGACAGGGACGTTCTCTGATAATATAGTTGATTTATATTAAAGTACAATATAGTAAGGTATGGTTATACCGACCATTCCTTTCTACACCGTAAGTGATTTCAGATGCATCTGAAATCACTTACGTTAATTTATATATTATATTTTACCATTCGTATGAATTATATGTGCAGGATGAACACACGTCTCAATTTTCTCTTGTTTTTAGATATCAAAAATATAAATACGATTACTTAATATTAATTGTAATTCAATGTGACATATTTATAGTCACTACATTATTTATACTTTTTCGGCTCTGTTGTATATAATAGAGAGAAAGTATGGTGATCGGTCGAAGAATGAGTTCTAAGACTTTTAAATATCATGAATTTTATCAGACTCTGGGGATCTTGAAACGTCCAGAAATTCAACAATAATCGCGGCTTTTTATGTATGTATAGATGGAAGTGTGTGTGTATTTGAAGGCACGATTTTGTTCATCTTCTTTGAAGCGTAATAACTCCTGTGCTTTTTGCTGAAAATTTTAGGAGTTTTTAAGGGAGGTTTGTGTATTAGAATGATCGATGGTATCAAATTTTGGTGGTGACAGGTCAAGGGGTATAAAGATAAAAGAAGACATTTGTCTTATCTCAAGTAGGGTGAGACCTAACGACAATTTTACTCTTTGTTAGCATTTAAAAACCTTTTATAAAACTTATCCCTACTCTCAAAATTAAGCGTTTACATTATCTTATAACAGATAAAAATATAACAAGTATTTTAAGTAAAATATTATAGCGAATGGAGCCACGAAATGTTTCCAAGAAACTTAAGCAACTCGTTACTAGATTTTTAAAATAGTTATTATTAGACACATTTTTTCTCATTTTTTAGAACATAATTGTTTATATAGTATCTATTTGTATTTGTCTACACATAGAAAAAAAAGGGCGTCTACGTGTTTTTCGGTTCGAATAAAAACTATGGACATCTGTCGTAATGTTATTGAGTACAACCTTAAGCGACATATGCATTTTCTATATATATATATATATATATATAAAGTTGAATAGTACCTTTCTGTCTATCCCTGAGATCAACATTAAACCGAAAAATCTGAAAGATAAGAATTACATACAGTAAAGAGTTTTGCACATAACTTTGAATTTGAATTAGAAAAGGCCCTACGCGTCCACAAAATAGTAAAAACTTTAATAACGTTGGAAGGCATCGAAACTGTAATCGTAAATCAGAAAGCATTTTCCCTAGGCAGATCGCCTAAGTGTTGCGTTGCCATAACTTAATTAAGAGACGTCTACGCGATAATTTGTTTATATCATAAAAAATTTTGGAAAATATAATACAAAATGTTTCTAAAATAATGTATTATAATTTTTCTATAAGTTTTATAAATATTTACTGCATTGTATATTTTTTCTTTCTACTTTTAGTGAGCGATTGGTAGAAGATCAGGACAACTATGAAGTAAATGATGACATTATGGGTCGTCCAACAAACATCAGTATGGATGAAGGCTTCAGCAAGCACGAAGAGTGCATGAAAAATTCTAACACCATTGGATATAATGTTGGGTGTGCTGTTAATAAGAGAAAAACATTAAATAAAGCCGGATCTTTTTTCAAGGCCGTATGGAAGCCAGTCAAAAAGTAAGTTTCTGTATATGTCAATACAAACAAAGTTTGATTTTGCTCGGTCATTGTTTTCGCCATTACAATTCTCACTTAATCCAGTGTGATGCTAAACCAAAGTACCTCAAACAGCAACAATTATACACAATATTAAGATGAACCCAGATATTTGAGCTTGAAAACTTCGTAATTTTTATAAGGATGGCAAAACTTTTTTATAGTACTGCACTGCATCGAGATTTACCAAAATAGATAAATTTTTAATCCAATGAAAAAATAATCTACAAAAGGAAATAATAATGACTAGCAATTATTTATAAATATAACATTTTTGATTCTCAATTTCATATAATGTAATATTTGCAATTAATCAATATAAACACAGCCGATATTGCGCTCTCAATATGTTTTGATAAAATTCAAATTTAGATATGTTATCAACAAATAATTATATTTGTTTTTTCACATTCAGATCAGCACAGAAGTTATGGAGAAGCGTGAAAAATGGACAAACTGAATACATTCAGTTTGATTAATGTTCTGCTTCTCTCAATCATTTAAATCAAGTATCCATCTGCTTGATTTGGTCCGAGTTCATCTCGGGTAAGTGTTTAATTAGAATATTTTTGTACTTTACACTTGACACTTATGTTTTTTATCCTCCATTTATAAATTAAAAACCATTTTTATCCTTGATAGAAATGGTGTTTTGGCCATGGTAACAGGAGAACAAAAAACATGTATTAACGTGGAGATACATCATGTTTTTTATAAGATTGATATTTTACATATAAACAGACTGGAGTAGGCTTACAAGGCATTAGGATTATATATATATATATATATATATATTCTTGTTCAAGTATAGACTAGAATATATTCTGGGAAAGTAGTAGTTTAATTACAAAGGAAAAGCAACTGAATAAATGAGAGTAGAGTTTAAAATATTCAGCAAGTTCATATTAATATGAGTATACGAAAATTCTAAACAAATCAAATTAATAAAAAATATATAAAACATAATAAATTACACAACAATATCACATTAATAATTATCAACTTAATAATTTTCGTTTGATTTGTAAATAATGTTTTTAAGAAAAAAAAATAAATTTACTGATTTAAAAATTATGAAATAATTGAATATTTTAGATAAATTTATNGCAACTTTGTTGCATTTTGTTCTATTTTGAAAATATTTAAAAAAAATTACAAGATAAATTTTAAAAATAACAAAAAAGGAATATAAATTTTAATTTTCTTTTAGTTATTTGCATTAATTTGCATTCGTTTTAGTTTTAGTTATTTTTCTATTATGCAACTTTGTTGCATTTTGTTCTATTTTAAAAATATCCAAAAAAATTACAAGATAAATTTTATAAATAAGAAATTTTAAACTTTAATATTTTTCAGTTATTTGCATTCTTTTGCATTTTTTGTAATTGTCATACTTTTCGTTATATATATATATATATTAATATATTTCTACTTATTTGTTCTATGTTTTAAAATGTCCAATGAAGTCGTAAAAAAGATTTTATAAGTAAAAAGAAAATCACGTTTAATATTAATTTTTTTAATTCATTTTAAATGATTTTATGAATTTCAATAAAGTTGAAGATGTTAAAGTTGCTTTTAGAGCAAGAGAGGTATTAATTGCAACGTATCGACTAGCATATAAATTGCGCCACAATGAAATGAAAAGCATCTTTTTATCTGCTATTGATATGTATGGTAATGATTTTTTCCAGAAAATCTTTAGAAATTTATTATGTCATGAACGTCTATACTTGATGTATTGAAAGATTTTTTAAACATTCAAATATAATAATGAAAGGAGCTGGTTTAAAGGTTTATTTGAAAAAAGCATAGATTTTATGCGCTTTAAGAGGCCTTCAGCACACGTGACTCAAAACAGATTGCGATTACATATTTTTGAATTTTGTACTAAGTGTTACCATGGATCTTGCCAAGACTGCAGAGAAGAAAACAGCAATAATTATAAGAAATAACCTAAGATTGTGAAAATATAAAGTTTTGCAAACAGAAATAAAATTGACCATTAGACTATTGACTATTACACTATTAGACTATTGACTATTAACTCCTACAAGAAAATATATACCGATAAAACCTGTCCTAGTAAATGAAAGCAAGAACTATTTAGACATAAATTTGTACAAAGAACATGCCAATGCTGACATGCGACATATTAAATTTGAATCTTGAAATAACAAACGGATTGTTGAATGATTTACCTGTATCAGCACAATACATGACCGAAGATTTTTTTATTCATTTGAATTTAATTGTATTTATTTTAATTTCCATTTCTTTTATTTTGTATTCACTTGTTTTTTATTTGATCCATGTTCTGAAATCTCCAATGGAATTGTAAAAAAAAATTTTATAAGTATCAAAAGAATTATGTTCAATTTTATTTTTTTTTTCATTCATTTGAATTTCTTTAAATGTTTTTTAATTAGCATTGTTTTTAATTTGTATTTTTGTATTGTTTATTTGTTGCATGTTTTAAAATATACAATGAAATTGCAAAAAGAAATTTTTATAAGTAACAAAAATATCATGTAGTATTTATTAATTAATTTTTATTTATTTGAATTAAATTGTATTCATTGTAATTTTCGTTCTTTATATTTTATATTTCTTCGTTGTTTATATATTTTATATTTAAAAATGTTAAAAAAAAGTTTAAAAAATTTTAAAAGGTCAAAAAAAATCGTTATGTATTTTAATTACTTTTTATTCTATATTTCTTTATTGTT